AGTGCGAGGGCTCTTTTAATAAAACAATAAATGTGTACCGTATTCTTCTTCATGGAAAAATAAGACATCCCCTGAAAATAAGACCTAGCGCATCTTTGGGAGCAAAAATTAATATAAGACACTGTCTTATTTTCAGGGAAACAGGGTAGTTAACTAATAGGAGTACCCTGAAGGCAGGGAGGATTGTCTTTGTCTACTTACTGCTATGTCCTCAGCTCCTAGAACAGGGCAGGTCCCCCTTATGTGCTTAGTAATTGTTAATGAATGAATGGATGGATGGATGAAAGGATGAATCTGAATGCTCCCTGAGTAGCTGCGCCAAGGAATTATTAAACCAAGACATTTTGGAAATGAACCTTTGCAGTTCCAAGCTTGCTCATGTCATTCTTGTTTCTTCTGTTTTCTTCAGCAGATCTCTGTCTCAGGAGGAGGTTTGCCCCCTGTCAGCACCTTGACGAATATCCACAGCCTGTCCCACCACAATCCCCAGCAATCTCAAAACCTCATCATGACCCCCCTCTCCGGAGTCATGGCCATTGCACAAAGTAAGCTCTGCTCTTGTTCAGACACCCTGGGGGCAAGGAAAAGAGAAATGGGAAGTAGGTCACTGTGATTATTAAAAAAACACAACACAGAGACTCTTCAAACTCACCCACAACTAGTGGATATGGTTTAGCTTCTTTAGTTTCTTTTTCTCTCTGTCATATATGAAATGTTTAGCCTAAAATAAGAACTGTGAATGGATGTGAACACTGGCAATAGTGTACATCCCTGTGTCCTGGGCCAGGAGGATTTACGTGCCCTTCCAGGGCAGGATAGGACTCGGCTCATGAAAGGCACTCCAGAGAATTTTTCATTGAACACGGATGAAACCGACATGCGCTGCATATGTTCTTTTCGAGGGAAGATGGAAGTGGAGAAACCTTTAGAGAGAGAACTCACAACTTTAAAAAAAAAGTCACTGCTTTTTACTGGGCTTTTTCATTTTTTTTTGAATTAAAAGATCATTTTATTGGGGGCTCTTACAATTCATAACAATCCAGACACCAATTGTATCAAACATATTTGTACATATGTTGCCATTAGTATTTTCTAGACATTTATTTTCTATTGAGCCCTTGGTATCAGCTCCTCTTTTAACCTCCCCCGCTCTCGTGACCTCTTGATAAATTATAAATCATTACTATTTTCATATCTTACCCCAACAGCTGTCACCTTTCCCCCATGGTTTCTGTTGTTCATCTCCCCGGCGGGGGTGTGGTGTGGTTATGTGTTGATCACTGCTATCGGTTCCCCCTTCCTCCCTTCCTCTCTCTACCTTCCCTCGACCCTTCTGGTCTCGCTATTCCCTTTCCTCTTCCTGTGGTGAGCTCTGATCTCTTATCTGTACCTGTGCACATGCTCCAGTCTAACCCGAAGTGAAAGGCAGTCCTGGGGTCATGATAGTGGGGGGCGAGGAAGCCTCAAGGAACCAGAGGAATAGTGTGTGTTTCATCGGTGCTTTACTGTGCCCTGGTTGACTCATCCTGTCCCTGTGACCCCTCTGTGAGGGGATGTCCCATTGTGTCTACAGATGGGCTTTGGGTCTCTGCTCTGACCCACCTCATTCTCAACAATATAGCTGTTTGTATGCTCGCTTGTCTGCTATGGGTCTTCTGATGCCTGTTACCCAGTCCCCATGATCACACAGGCTGATGTGCTTCTTCCATGTGGAATTGTTGTTTTTCTGCTAGATGGTCGCTTGTTTAACTTCAAGTCTTTAAGGCCCCTTACTGGGACCTTTTCCACGAATATAAGTGGTACCAGGATTTGGATTGACAACACTCTAAGATAACAGCTGACTTGCTTTCTAGAAGATATGATTTTTAAATTTATGGATAGGATAATCCCACTCCTTATTCCTATAACCAAAAAGAGACACAAAGTATCCATGTACCTTGTTTCTCCCCCACCCCCCAATTCAAGCCGGGACTGACGCAAATCCATATATTTTATGGCACTACCTGAACTGAAAATCTCCCTGGGCTCTTTCATGTTTCCAGTTTGGCTCACCCTCATTGTCGCCTGTGCTTCTTTACTTTCTCAACGATCTCCGTTGTTAGATAAGTAATCCCAGAGCACGCACTGACCTTAGAAGGGTGTATGTGTGTGTGTGTGTGTGTGTGTGTGTCTTTGGGGTGGGTAGGCATGCACAATGAGGAAGATCACCAGAAACCCTTGCCAAGAATCATCGTCGCACTCTACGGAGAGGCAGGATGAAGACTCGGTTGCAAGCGTTCTTGTTGCGTGGACTCAGATCCTATTGAGTGCATAGGTGCTGTGTCAGGACTACGGAGGTCCGTGTCAGGTACAGCACATTTCTTTAAAGAAAAAGGAAAAAGCTTTGTAGCTTGGGTGGAAATGTACAGAGAAAATTAGTTTTCCATTTAGTGATTGAGACACGTGTCCTCTCATAAGACTCGTGGCCGTTTCCTGACTGTGGGCAAATGCTGTCCTTTGGGCCTGGTGTTCTCCCTTGTTCTGAGCAGCACGTTCCTGAGAGCGTTACTGTTCACTGAATCGGCCTGACTGTTAGTTCACTGAAAGGTGCTCCCCAGGAGTAGTTTCCGTTCCACGTCTCGAGGATTCCACTAGTCTCTATCAAACCCGTAAGTCTGGTCTTTTCATGATTTTGAATTTTGTTCTAGTTTTCTCCCTTCGGTCCAGGACCTTCTGAGACCCCAATCAGTGCAGCTGGTAGTGGTAACTGGGCACCATTTACGTCTGTTGGTCTCTGGGTAGTAGAGACTGTGGTTTCTGTACAGCACATTAATTGGCGGTACCACGTTCCTGTTCCCTATTCATCTACTGATGGATAACTTGTTAAGAAGTTGGATGCTTCTTAAGCAGTAACCGGGGCAGACCACCTCTCTGCCAGTTTGTCGCACGGTGACTACTGTGTACTGCTACACTGATGGAAGTTACACCGCCAATATTTCAAATACCGGATTGCCCACAGTGGTGGGTTTCCTCAGAGTTATCAGACGAACACTAAGAACTAGTGCGCTGCTTCATTAGCCGATGGAATTCAGCACAGAACACCGGATGAGCCCCTCGCCTGGAGGGCACGCAGGCTGCCCCAGTGGACCCGGGGAGACCAACAATCATGAAGATGGATGGTACAGAGTTGGGCAACGCTGGCTCTTTTGTACACGTAGTTGCTATGAGTTGGAGCCTATTTGATGTCAACGAACACTAACAACAACAGTTTCTAGAAAACAGAAAGACAAGAGTCATACGCTGTGGAAGCTGGAATGACATCAGTAGTTCTCCGTCCTGGAATTGAGGTACACAGGGATCACAGAATGTGTTAAAAATAAAATTCCTGGGCCCCACCTCTAAAGGTTCTGACTCATGAAGGCTTGGGTGGAGCCCAGGAATGTGTATTTCTTAAAGACCTCCCAGATGGCTCTGAGGCCAGGCTGGTTTCAGACCAGTGTTCCTAATGTCGTCCACGCCAAACCAAGAGCGTTTGCTTTCCCGAGCAGTAACTCACTATAACTCAAGTGCCTTTGAGTCAATGCTGACTCCAACGACCCCGGTGGGGGTCCTGTTTGCTGGAGTCGAAAGGCCAGTCTCTCTCCTTCATAGCGGCTGGTGGTTTTAAACTACTGACCACGCAGGTCACAGCCCAACGTGTAGCCACTGCACCACCATGTCTTCTTCTGCAGTGAGTTCCCAAAAAAGAGCAGCAGCAAAATAATAAAGCTGAGAAAAGAACCTGTCAAGGGGGGTGGGGTAGGAAACAGAAGAGCCGGGCCTTCGGTAAGACTCTGGCTTGGAAGAAGCTGGACTCTCAGGACAGTTGGTGATAGGGTTCTTCTGAGAGTGACCAGAGGACACTGGCCCCCACCCCCACCCAGGAGAGCCAGGAGGGGAATTATTCTTGGTGTCTGCTAACCATATCAGCTAAAGCTCTGCCTAGACCATTGTTGTGGGGTTTCCGCTATCTCCACTGAGGACTTCCATGAGCCTGCTTTGAGACCTTCTTCTACTCAGGGAAACGTAGTTCTCGCTGCTACATTGCCTAAAATAGACTCTTGTCCCCTACCCCACCCCACCCCCACCTGGATTTCCTTCTTTCCCTCACTTTCCCAAAAGCAAGATCACAGAGACATTGTCTCTAAGAAAGAAGTCAAGATAGCTTCCCTCCTAATCCTCCTGCCCCCACTCCTACTCTGCCTCCTCTGTCTTCCCCAGAGTCCTTCCTACGAGGAAGCAAATGTGGGTACCAGGAGACCCACTCCTCACAGTGCCGGCCCTGGTTCTGAAGGGACATCAGCATATAGACACAGTAACCGCAAAAGCCTTGATCCCCGCAGAACAGAACGATGACTAGACTCACCGTGCCTAACCGGGCCAAGCTTCACTTACTGTCACTACTTCCTCCTTCCTCCAGCTGGTCCTTTTGATACCCCGGCCCTGTGCTACTGGACAAGAGCATGCTCAGTCGATCAGGAGAAAGATTGCCTGAGTTCTAGAGCTGTGTGTCTTCTCCCCTTTGGGCTGTGGTCAGCAGAGTAAGCTCCTGAACTCAGAATCTTCGCACACTCTCCTGTAAAGGTCTTTAGGCCTCCCCCCAACTGCAGAACTTGGGAGGTTGGTAGATTTGCATCAGCGTGTCCATCCCTGCACACTCCTGCCCTCTGCTGGACAGACAGATCTGGGACACAAATCTCTTGACGTAGACAAGTTTAGTGCTGCCCCCAGGCCACCTGGGCAAGCCTCTCTGAGAGAATCAGGCGTCACATAAACCCAAAACCGAGCTCACTGCCCTGAGGTCAATTCCAAGTCATAACAGCAGCAAATCAAACGCGCTTCCCCAGGCCTCTGATAACTGTGTGGGAGTCACGTTCTGTGGGTTCTAGGATGGCTCAGGGAGGTGTGCAGGCCTTAGCAAACCAAACTCACGGCCATGGATAGAGTTGATACCGACTCATAGTGACCCTATAGGACAGGGTAGAACTGCCCCTGTGGGTTTCTGAGACTGTCACTCTTTACGGGAATAGAAAGTCCTTTCTCCCACAGGGCGGCGGGCTGTTTTGAACTGCTGCGGGGTTAGCAGCCCAACACGTAAGCACGATGCCAAAATCCATCTTAAACACGATGCCAAAATCCATCTTCCTCCACAAGGCATTGTCAAAGCATTAAGCAGAGCGATCTCCCCAAGCCTCAGCTTCTCAGTCCATAAGATGGTCATATCCAATCCATTCCCAGACGATCTCTGAGGTAACAGGTGTAGCCCAGAGCCTGGCACACAGTAGGGCCTCGGTTGGTGTCGGTTCTCATCCGTCCTCCTCTCCTGAACGCAGAAGTCCTCTCTGATCTTTCCTTCTCGCTCCTACAGGCCTCAACACCTCTCAAGCTCAGAGCGTCCCTGTCATCAACAGTGTGGCCAGCAGCCTGGCCGCCCTGCAGCCCGTCCAGTTCTCTCAGCAGCTGCACAGCCCGCACCAGCAGCCCCTCATGCAGCAGAGCCCGGGTAGCCACATGGCCCAGCAGCCCTTCATGGCCGCCGTGACACAGCTGCAGAGTTCCCACAGTAAGGAGGTGTCGGGGGCGCAGAGCATAAAGGGCCCTGTCCACCCTCTCTGGGTCTGAGTTGTCTTGGAAATGGACTACTTCGATCACTTTTCCCTAACTGGAACCACCCAAGATAATGTCTCCAGCATCATTCTCGGTGCACTGCTGTGCCTCTTCTAGTCCCATTCTCTGCTCCCAAGCTTCCCAAGGGAAAAGGTTGAGGAGGACCACTTGGGCCTACTCTAAAGGGGAGTGGGGGGTAAAGAGCAGAGCTGGCGTCGTAGATGGGGAACACATGCTATAACGTCCCATGCTGGCAGCCATGGGAGACGTCACCGATCAACCACAGCCCCTGGCCCGAATTGGTTGATTGGCTTAGAGTTGACACTCGCACCCAAAATTCCAAGCAGCCGTTATCAAGTGATGAGGGTAGACATGTCATCTGCAGCCTGTTTCCCTTCCCTGAAATAGAACAATCTTACAGCATCCCCATGCCCTCTCAATTATACACCCTAAACATCCTTCATCAATTCTCAATGAACCCACCACCACTGCCCTCTGATGGGCTCTGCCCCTAGCGACCTCACAGGACAGAATGGAGCCGCCCCTATGGGAGCCCAGGGACATAGGTAAAAAATGCCACTGGGACTGGACGGGAAGTATTTCGAGTTTCTGCCATGCCCACCCCCAAGGCTGTTTCCCATGTCCAATTTCTACCCTTGCTTTAAACCTACCCTTCAACTCATTAATTCTGAGTCCCTGCGTCCCTGCCTCCTGCTCCTCCAGCTGGATCCAACTGTAGGGCCTGGCCTCCCAGTGTGGGTTCCCCGGCCTCGGGCATTCTACCCCGAGAACTCAAGAGAAGTCTCTGGAGCAGAATGCTCGTCCCGGATTCCAATCCGGGCCTCAAACCTACCACTTTTGGGTTGTTCTTCTGTGCTCTCCAGTCCACTGTGACTCCTAGCGACCCTCTAGCCGAGAGCAGAGCTGCCCCTCGGGGTCTCCCTGGCTCCCCTGGAGCCACCCCAGGTGGTGAGTGCCATCTGCTGGCATTTCCGTTAGCCGCCTCGCTGCCCCTTTAGTAGCTCTGTAGTCCTTGGTGATGACTCCGCGGCCCAGAACCTGTTTCTCCATCCTTAAAATGGAAACCACACACCCACCGGATTCCTATGCAGATGAACTACAATATCCACGCAGGACCATTCCGATGAGGAAATGAAAGTAGAAGTAAATCCCATTTTTGCTGGCCTAAATTAAACAAACACAAATGGTTTTAGATTCAGGGCCTGCTAGAAGGCAGGGACGGGGAAGGGGGTTGGAGTTTGTCCTTGGCTGTGCAGGCAGAGCTGCAGGTCTGAGGGAGTACCGCCAACCTCAGTCCTCCTCTGTCCACCAGGCTCAGGCCTTCCTCCGGCCTGTGGAGCTGGTTTCTGAGCACCATCTCACATTCCAATCACATTTTTGTGGCTTCTAAAAATTTGCCACAGCCTGTAGCAGGACCTGGGGCCACAAGTGCTCCACTCCCCTTCATCGCCTGGCCATATACTCCCCCCTCCCTCCCCATCACCTCACCTGGGCAGGCTTCCGGGTGGAACAATGAGTGGTCGCCAGCAGCCTGTGTTCTGCCCAGGCCGGCAGGCTTGGCTGGTTAGAAGAGATGTCGCGTGGAGCCCTTGGCCAGGAATAGCCAGGCTATTGTACCTGTCAGGACAAGCTGAGACAGCGGCAGTGACCTTTACTTCTGTTGTTGATTTGAAGCCTACTTCGTGGTACGCCCTTACAACCAAGCACCCACATGCTTTCATTAGTGGGTCATGTGACCTAAAGCGAATGTGAGTCTGTGGGTAGACGAGCATGGATCAAAAGGCTCTGGACTTAGTGGACAAGGACTGGGACAATTCGAACAACAACAGAAGCAGAGTCACATGCTCCTAGAGGTTTTATTTGAATCTAGTCTCCTCTTAGGAGTCCCAGTGCCATCGTGCTTGAGCGTTGGGCGTGATCCTCAAGGTCAGCAGTTCGAAACAACCAGCTGGCTCCCTGGGAGAAAGATGAGGCTTTCTCTTGCCGTTAGTAAAACTCAAAGGGGGCAGTTTTGCCCTGTCTTATAGGGTCACTATGCATAGGCCGTGCAATCGGTGTTTGGGTTTTGGGGTTTCGTTTGGAGTTTCCTCTTAAGGAGGCCTGGTGGCACCAGGGTTGTGCCTCAGTTGTTGGCACTTTGAACCTGCCCAGAAGCTCTCTGGGGAAAAGCCCTGGTGATCTGCCCCCGTGAACATGACGGCCAAGAACACGCTAGGGGACACTCTCCTCAGTCACATTGGGCCCCTGTGAGTCAGAATGGACTCAGTGGTACCTCCTTCGACCACAGAAGGGTCCTTTGATGTCACGCTAGCTCAACCTGGAGCAGCAGAAGTGGTCAGTGCACACTGGCCAGGGCCTTCGGGTTGGTCAGTTGCGAACTTTGGGGGATTGAAATCTCTGATGAAACACATGCCCCTTCTTTTTACATCACGCTCACTGTAGGGCGTGACCACGCCTCCCACCCTCTTTTATCTGCCCAGGGAAGTGGGAGCGCTGATGTGGAATGGTGGGGTGTTCTGTCACTGTGTACATGCGTGTATCATCTCCCTTGATGTTATCTCCACTCTCTCCAGTGTACGCCCACAAGCAAGAACCCCCTCAGTATTCCCACACCTCCCGGTTCCCATCTGCGATGGTGGTCACAGATACCAGCAGCATCAGTACCCTCACCAACATGTCTTCCAGTAAACAGGTAACTGTCAGCAGGACGCGGGTGGCGAATGGGACCTTGACTAAGGCCGGTGAGGTCCTAGGGGTGGCAAGCACAAGTATGGCCTTAAGTTGGGTCCTTCTGAGAGTCTGTTACTTGCTATAGGATGCCCTGGGGTCCTAGGTCAAAGAAAACAGGCCACAGACCAGGCTAAAGGGGCTATTGCTTCTTCTCCTGGTCCCCTAACAAGAGCACTAAAAAGACTGGTGTGTGACAGGTCATGGGAGGCCTGGATTGCACTGAGTCTTCATGCCTTGTGATGGAGTGTGTTCTGATGGATTGCTGGATGATCCATGGAAAAGGGTATTTCCAAGAAGGCTCCAGGAGTCAGATCCTTCTTATTAACTTTCATACTTTGCAAGAGGGATTCCTGAGGACTTTCTACATGGCGACTTCAGCCCAAGGAGAGCTTTCTGGATCTAGCATGAGGCCTGGACCCCGAGGCCTTTCCCCCAGTCCAAGGTCCATGCTAGATCCAGAAAGCTATCAGAGCCGATTCTGACAACCTTTGGGGTCCCCTCTACCCCCACTACACAGGGTGTTTTCCTTAAGAAACTGAAAACCAACTTCGCATTGCACTGAGAGTGGGGAATCTGGAGCTTTAGCTACTGTTTCCGCTGATGAATCATTCAAGTATAGGTGGCACCCCCACAGTCGGCCTGGACAGCTGGGCTCCAAAGGGAGAGTGAGCCTTAGAAAACAGGACAGGATGTCTGAACAGTGATGATGATTCCAGAAAACCACAATCGAGCCTTTTAGTCGCTGGGCTCTGTGCCGTGTGGGAACCGTTGGGCCTGTATTGATTGTGAGCTAAATAGGCAACAACCTTGAGCTTCGCGTCAAAGGCTCTCTGTAGAATGGGACCTTCTGGATGGTCTGTTTGGTTTGTTTTTAGCTGAGCCCTGCAAACCACACCCACTGCTGTGCACGTCAAGAGCCGGTCCTTCCCCGGGCCTGGGGTTCTCTGTTCTTCCCTTTGCCCCCGTCTCCTTCCAGGCAGTGCAGAGCTCCTCTGGCCTCGTGGGGCAGTGGAGCAGGTGGCTCTGTTCCTGGTTGGGCCACTTCAGTGGTGACCTTGACCTCCCTGCATCTCTGTTTCGTCATCTGTAAAATGAGAGTTGGGACATGTACTTGTTCCGTGGACTCGGCGGAGTCCCATAAATTAAACGCCTGGCCTGTCTTGGGTGCTGAGACATGCGGGGCTCTGGAACTTGCGGGGAGGGGGGCGGGGGAGGGAGAGGTGTGTGGGACCTGTCTTGCTACTTTTCTCTCACCCAATGGAAGATGAAAGGACAACACCCCCACCCCCACCCCGCCCCTCCAGTGCCCTGCCCTTCGACTCCTGTGCCATTTCCCAGCCTTTGTAGTGAGCAGGGAAAACATTTATCTGTGCTCACAAATCTCAATCAGGCGGGCAGCCAGGCGCAACAGAACCTCCTTGGGAATACCTTCCCCTTTGAAAGGTATATCAATCCATCTGCCGCTGGGTCAGCCCTCGACCGGCCTGTGAGTAATTACTCCTGTCTTTCCCAAGTTGACTTTGATGCTTGCTTGCTGAAACAAGTCCTCTGGGTTCTGGAAATGGTCTTGTTATCAAAATCCACCCAAATGCTCCCAAAGATGCTGCCCCAACCCCGGTGTGGCTCACCCCCAGCCCCTCCACTGGACCAAGTGGCCAGCTGACCTTGCTGGCTACAAGAGCAGCCCTCTGGCATCACCGCCAAGCTTTTTCCACATCTTTGGGCTTTTCAGGAGTCTGGGGGGGGGAAATGCCTGGCATGACAACCAGGCTGCTGCGGCAGAGTAGGAAGAAAGCACGCGTTTAACACTTGGACCATCCACACTCCTCAGGCATGCCCTGGTGGTTTTTTATCTTTTAACCATTGCTGCAACTGCCTTAGAAAGGCCGAGAAGTAAACTTAGGCTCAGAGCTGGAAGGTAACCTTCCCTCTGATTCCAAATCCCAAACTCTTTTCTGTGAATAATATTTTCCTTTCAGTCCCCACCGTTAAAATACCTAGGGGAACTGCCTTTTGGTCCTAGGTGGTCTACTGGGGTAAAACGTGAGCCCCAATACCATGTTCCACCAGGAAACCTCCTCCCTCCAACTTGAGGCAGAAGAAGGAAAGGGGAAAGGCAGAGTGAGGGAAATGCGGGTCAAGGCGCTGCCTCCTGACAGCAGAGGGGTCCAACGTCCCAGGTTTGCAAACTGATCCTGAGGCCAAGGGTCAGAAGAGAGCTCCTTAAGAGAACCAGGGACAATTCTGCTTTTCTTCTTCTTCTTTGTTTTAAAGTGTTGTTTTCGACCCGGGGTTTCCGGACCATAGCTAGGCATCAGAGCCTGTGGGGTGGGAAGAGAGGAGCCCTCAAAGTGCTGGACTAAACAAGTCCAGTTTCTCAGAGGCTTTCATGTGCTACTATGGGCTTTGAACAGGGTCATGTGGAGCACCTGTGAAAATGCTATTTTAGGGGCACCTCCATGTGGTAGTTAAAAAAAAAAAAAAAAAAAGACCCAAACTGAAACACACTACCTTCTGAGTCAACTCCAGATCACAGGGACCCCCATCCATATAGGGGAGATAAATTTACTGAGACAGTAAATCTTTACAGGAACAAAAAAGCCTCATCTTCCTCTTTCAGAGTAGCTGGTGGATTTGAACTACTGACCTTGTCATTGGTATCCCAAGGCCTAACCCACAGGGCCACCTGAGCAGTTAGCAGCCAAAGGCCTAACGCACAGGGCTCTTAAACCAAACCAGACGCACTGCCATCAAGTCAGTGTTGACTCATAGCAACCCCTGTGGGTTTCTGAGACTAAAACTACTTACAGGAGTAGAAAGCCCAGTTTTTCTCCCTAGGAGTTGCTAGTAGTTTTGAACTGCCAACCATGCAGATCGCCATCAGACTCTTGTTTCCTTCAGCCATGACTAAATGATTTTCAAATCTCTTAAAGAAGCCCTGGTGGAGCAGGAGGTTGAGGATTGGGGTGAACTGAAAGGTTGGTGGTTCGGACCTACTAGCCACCAGACCCTCCTCAGCAGAAAGATGAGGCAGTCTGCTTCCACAATGATGTACAGCCTCCTAAACCCTCAGGGGCAACTCTACCTTGTCCTCTAGCGTTGCTATGAGGCAGAATGGAACCAGCCGCTGTGAGTTTGGGCTTGGGTTTGACAACTTCGCTCAGAGATGGGGGAGGAATCTGGCCAAGGTGGGCCTCCAGCTTTGACCTACTGACTCCAAATACCTACGCACATTCCTTGAACAATGCAAGACGTCTGTGGGAAAATACCATTATCTTTTCATTTTAATTTCCCCAAGGTTTTACAGGCATAAGGCTGAAGCCAGGATTTGAATCGTATCTGTCTGATCACCACACTTCCTGTTGTTAATACAGACATGCCTTCAAGTGGGTCGTAGATCATTTGTCAGGAACCTCAGGCTGGCACTTCTTGTCTAGAATCCTTCTGCAGCTACTCCCATCTCTCCTCTCCACAGCATGTACCTCTTTCTTCTGAGTCAATGTCAGATGGGCTGTGCTAACCTCCTGAAAACCAATGTCCTGGAAACGCAGACCACAGCAAGCACAGATCTCAGTTAGAACAAGTGTGGGCAGGCTTTGGGCTGACTCCTGTTTCCACAACTACTGCTGCACTTCCTAGTTTGGAGGGAGGTCAAGAGAGGGCTCCCAGAGCAGTCATGAGTCTAGGATACTGACCAAAAAGGGGGTGCAGCTGTTCCCCTTCCTCCCGACCCTTCCCATTGGATGGCGAGGTAGTGAAGAGGCTTCAGAGTTAGGCCGCCTCAGGCTCCAGATTCTATGGCTTCCTACCTGCAGGACCTCAGCCTTAGTTGCCTCGCCTGTAGTCAGGCTAATGGGACTGTTGAAAGGATGAAATGCTTGGGCCAAAGGAACTCTCTAGTACAGAAGAGCTGGTTCACACTCAGCTTTCCAAACGTCTGCCCACCACGAGCTTTGGAAGGAGGTTTTTAAATAACAAGGGCCATTTATTTCCCTCTTGTTGCCACAGCCAAAAGATTGAAGGGTGCAATCTCCTAGGTGGTTTGGCACAGGCTTTTTTTTTTTTTTTTGTAATTGTGAGACCCTGAGCAAGTTGCTTATATTTTCTCTGTCCCTTATCTGAACATTGGAATGATAAACTTTTTTAAAAATGACTAGAACATCAGTGACTCTAAGGTAAGGTCACAACAATAGAAGTGAACTTATCATACTCAATATCTTTTGTTTTTCTAATCATTTTATTAGGGGCTCATACAACTCTTACCACAATCCATACAGACATCAATTGTGTAAAGCGCATTTGTACAGTCATTGCCCTCATCATTCTCAGAACATCCACTCTCCATTTAAGCCCGGGGCATTAGGTCTTCCTTACTCAATATCTTTAGTTCCTCGCCCTCCATTCTCTTTTCAGACCACTTTCTCCTCCCTTTTGTCCCCACCACTTCCCTAGCACCTCTGTCTGTGTTGTAAGATCCAATGGTGGCTCTTCAATCTTTCTATTCGACTGGGCCTGCCACTCCCGCAAGGAGCCCTGGGGCACAGCAGGTCACACGGTGGGCTGCTCCCCACAAGGTCGGCAGTTCGAAACCACCAGCCACACCATGGGAGAAAGATGAGGCTTCCTCTCCCCATAAAGAGTTGGTGGTGGTGGTAGGTGCTGTTGAGTTGGGTCCAACCCACAGCGACCCTGTGCACCACAGAACCAAATATTACCCCATCCTCACAACCGAGCCTAGGCCTGAGCCCACTGTACCCATGGTGTCAGTCCGGCTGGTTGAGGACCTTCCTGTTTATCGCCGCCTCTCCACTCTGTCAGCAGAATGTCCTTCCTTCCCCAGGGACTGGACTCTCCTGACAACATGGCCAAAGGATCTAAGATGAAGTCTTGCCCTACTTGCCTCCAAGGAGCACTCTGGCCTTACTTCTTCCAAGACAGATTGGTTTGTCAAGAGTTAGTCTC